TTCGGAAATTCTCATTTAAAATTCGCGCGCTGTATATTTTCCGATATTTTAAGTTTATGTAGTTTGGCAGCACTGTCCTTAATTACTATGCCAAAAATGAGCGCGATCTGTCAGACAGTTCGTTTACGGCAGCTGTTGAAACCAGTTCACCTCAGTAGGGCGTTGCGAAAAAAACAATGGAAAAAAATATTGAACAAAGAGTTTGCATCAAATTTTGTGTTTCGAACGAAATTTCGTGTGCAGAATCGTTGCGAATGCTACAAAAGGCTTATGGGGAATCAGTTTTATCGAAAACTCAAGTTTATGAGTGGTACAAAGCCTTCCAGGACGGTCGTACGACCGTCGAAGACATTTCGCAACGCACTACTGAGGTGAACTGGTTTCAACAGCTGCCGTAAACGAACTGTCTGACAGATCGAGCTCATTTTTGGCATAGTAATTAAGGACAGTGCTGCCAAACTACATAAACTTAAAATATCGAAAAATATACAGCGCGCGAATTTTAAATGAGAATTTCCGAAAACTTTTCAGTCTTAATGTATATTATTTCGACCTAACATTTATTTATTTTATGTTTATATGAAAAAAAATTGTGTTTCAATCGTCTGCAAGGTATTGATGCATGACTTTTGATCTACATATTTTATATAAATATAGTATATTTTTGTCAATAAGTTTAGACTATATTTAGTTAAAAATCTTTATATATATATATATAATGTTAAAACAATTGAAACTTAAAATCTTTTCCCTTTTCAAATTTAGCAAAGTATCCAACCAGTCAAAACTTATAATATTACGGAAACTATGGTATGTGGAGAAAAGATTTCGAATCCTGCCATCAATTCACCTTTATCACCAAACTCCGAAAGTTGCTTACATTCAAAGAATGAAGTTGATCTTCAATACATAAATAAGCATATTCCAATAGAAGATAATAACACAACAGCGAAAAAAAATACTTCTTCTGGTTGCGATAATATAAATAACAGTGATACACATGAATCTACTTCGGTATCTAGAAAAACCAGTACATCAGAATATACATCATTGTCGTCAGATTGCACTCCTGATAACACAATTACCACATCACCTTCGGTACCATATCCTGAACATAAAATAAGTTTTGATATAACTAATGACAGCGATTTAATTCTTAATGAAGTACCAGATAATGGAGGCTGTTCATCCCAAACAGAAAATATTTTTACAGATAAATGTACCAACGACGATCAAAAATTAGCAGAAACTGATTTAAAATTGCACGACGAAGATAATAAAAATTTTACTTCACCAAATACACGAAAAATATCTCGTTTTCTTGTTCACAACGTACAATCTAATAGTGCTGTAGAGTTAAATCCGGGTGTCAATATTATGGAAATCAGTGATAATATCGAAAAGAATGCAGATGATGTATTAGATATACGTGATAGTGGATTAAATGAAAAAAAAGAAAACACGTCTAATAAGATAACAGCATCGTCATCAGTTGCTTCATTAACAACGCCATTAGCTTCTACATTTAATGCAGGTTTAAGTACCAATACACTTGAGCAATTAAAAATTGAACTTGAAAACATCACACACGCACATTCAACGAACGCTATTTCTTTAAATAATAATATCAGCGATCACCAAAAACATGTTTTGTCGGTAAATAACATTGATAGAAACGAAGAAACTGAAGAATTAGAACAACTAGAACAGATAATTACTATCCAACCAGAAGAAAATCCCTGTGAATGTACGATAATAAAAAACGAAGATGAGATGCATAGTTCACAAGAGATGGAACTAGCAAACAATCAGAGTTCAGATCTAGCTGAGGAGGTATGTTAAATTCCTATATACAATGATTAATAATAATAAATTTGTATTACGACCAATATTTATTTAGTTTTTATATTTTTTTAATCGTTTTTAGGTCGTTTATTTAACACATAACTTTATGAAAATGTTTTTTTAAATAAAATAAAAAAATACACTTTTGAAACAGCGTTAAATATTTAGTTATATTTAATTTTTATTAAAAAATTAAAATATTATGTTCATATTGGTGTCGACCTCAATGTTTATGTTTGAAATTATTTTAATTACAGATATTTCGGTCTACTTCGTAGACCATCTTCAGTGCATAAACAAAGAATAAACAAAAAAAAGAAATTACAAATTTAAATACATGTAAATAAACATATAAACATATATCCAAACATTGTTGTTTAACATTTTTAACATTTAAATTTATTTAGTCAAATGCAAAAACATACAATGGAGGATAAATTATAATTTTAAATTTATTAATTATATATTAAATTTTTCTATGGTTGATTAGAGACCTGTAAATTTGTGCAAGACCCTCAGTGTCTTTTTTGTAATTTAATATCTGTTTGTCCGGAACTTCAATGATGTGTAACATTTCCAGCATCAGTCTACGTCTATAATTTGGCTCTTTGTTGATGATATGTACTTCTTCAAAATTTGGAGTATGTTTCATCATAAAGCAATGGGTTGCTAATGCTGTCTTTTGGTCATTAGAAGTTGATCTGCTCTTTAAATTTGGCTGACCATACAACGCTGTTTCGAGTATTGCCAAGTACTCATTATCAGTGGTCTTAGGAAACAATCGAATTTTAATTAGTTTATAGTCCGTATATAACTTGTTTGGACTGCAAGTGCCAGGCTTAGAACTCGTGCCTGTCAAATTAGAAGCAATGACTAATCGTGTTCATCCACAAGTAGCCAAGGCTGCACAAACTTTCAGTGCTCTCGTTCCAGGTTTTTTGTTATTTTTTTATTTAATTAGTGACATTAGACAAAGCACAAAGCGGCTTTTATTATTGAATCTTGTTCTATTTCCAGTGGCCTCCCAATATTTGTCTACTCAGATTTTCATTTAATCTTCTAATACCTTTTCTTTTCTTTTGTTTTTACAATTTTTGTCGAATCTTTATGTGCTATTTGCAAGATTTGCTTCATAATTATTTTATCCAAAGTCAATTCGACAATTTAGTTTTTTAAATTGTGTTGAACGCTTTTCTCTAAAGAATCCTTATACTTTTACTTCATATGCAAAATTATTTTTTATTATATTCACAAATTGCTTGAGCTTTCTTCTTTCGATTTTTACACTACCTTTTAAAAGAAGTTTTTTCTTCATTTTGATTTAATAAGACGCATACAATTCAAATTACATTAACTTTTAATAAAATTTGTGAACTGACCTATTGTTCAGAAGAAAAAAAAAACAAAGTAATACGTACTAATTTTAAGTTTGTTTTAATCAATCTTATTTTTTGATTACTTAAATAAATATCTTCAACCATATTATATTGTTATTTATATTTCGAATAGAATAAAAGCAATACATCAAATGCTGTAAGTAATTCATCAACAGATGACCATAATCCTCGCAAGGTGTCCAGATTTAGTGTGAGCCGTGTTCAAGAACTTAAAACAAATGCAACGTCTACAACTGTTTCAAAAGATGACACTGGTTCAAATGCTGATATATTAGTTCAAACGCAAAGCATTCAGCAAATATCGGATGAAGAAAGTACAGAAAATTTTTTATTTTTTTATTTAATTATTTCTTTTAAGCAATTCAATCATTAGAATTAAATCAACAAACTCAAAATATACAACCTACTTCTTTGGCTGCGCAAAGTCAAAATATTGTTGCAAATGAGGAAGATAAAATTTCGTTAACCCAACCAACTTCAGTATTTCCATACCAACAACAATCTCAAGACAACCTACATCAGAAGACAATACAAAGTATTACTTCTCAACCACATTCTCCTGTTATCACTCAACAAAATCAAATGCACAAAATATCAAATTATAATATATCACAACCGCAAATTTCACATCAAATTGTATCATTGCATCAACCGCAGCACATAATTCAAACAATTCCAGTATCGCAACAATTACAAAATAACCAAGTTGTCCATTTACCATTATTAGCACATAGCTTGCCATCTCAGACTCTACCCATATTACAGAACCAGATAATACAACATGTGCAGAATAGTCAACTTTCGCAACAATCAATCAACCAGACGCCATACACATCGAATGAATGTAATTATTAAAAGTTTTATTCAAATCTTTCATCTATTTAATGTTTTAATTACAATAGCAGTAACTACTGATGAACCTGTGTCATTGGCAGCAACTCATCCTCAATTACTTCCGACAGTTATTCAATCTGTAAGTATTATTTATTTTAAACGCGCTTATTAAATAACGAAAATTTAAAATGTTTGGGAGTATCTATTCTCAATATTGATTACTTTATTAAGCTGTTTAAGTAGCACGGCCAACTCGTTGCCCGGTTGCAGTTAATTTAAAATTTGTACCAAGGCGCTTTTGCTACGAATACAATTAGATCTGCCTTATTTCTTGTTCCTCTATTTTATTGACTGGAATATTGATTTTCATCTTTACCACATGACCACATGTCAGTGAAGTCGCTTGATGTAGACTTATTGAATAATATCAATGACACGATTCATTTGCATTGGCTGCAATAGTGACAAAATTAAAATTCAGTAATTTATGAACCAGCAAAACCATAAGGCATGTTCAGGTGATCGTGCCAAGCAAATATACCAGCTTAGCGCTAGCGCTCAACTTTTTTGGTATACATTTGGCATCGTTGCAATTGTGTATTGAGTATTGAAGAAAATAGTTGCTTTATTGCTTAGAAAAAAAACTACTTATATTTTCTGTAAAATATGAACTGTAAAACTGTAATAGATAGTTTATAGTTTAAAGTTTGAAAGATAGAACGAACGAAAGGCAGTTTGAAACATTTTTGGCATTCTGGTACAAGTTTTTAAGAAATAATTTTATAATTTAAATTCCTGGTTGAAGCTGTTCTATGTTATTGCTTTTATGGGAAAATCAAAAACAGCTGTTAATCGCTATTGCTTCTAACATAAATATTTCATATGAATACAAATGTGATGGAAAACCGTAAGATGGCTTCATTAAAAATATTTATATATAAATAACAATTTACTGAAAATTTAACTCCTGTCATGAAAGAAATTGTAACAGCAGGTTTTTTTTTGTGGTCCTACAAACTTTGTAAGGCACAAGATTAAACTTTGGAAGTTGTAAGCAACTTTATCTAAAGTTCTCGGAAGTGGTGAGCTCATTGATATATCAAGAATTAACAGTGCAAATGTGACAAAAATTTTTTGATGGAGATAATTTTAATGTTTTAAAAAAATCAAATTAATATATGAGTTTAACGACTAACTGAATAGTTGCAACTTTAACATCTTCATACTATAACTGTTTTTTCTAAAATTGAATTTAGAGATATTGTATTACAAAATCTGAAGTACTCATATGAGTATTTCAGATATTTGTGTTATTCAAAAATGCAAAATAACATGTTCCAAACATATGTAATGAATATATTGTCTTTAGAAAAATTTCATAAAAAATATTTCAAAATTTTGCAAATAAATATTCGTATAGTTATATATTTATTACCAAATATTCAATTCTTACTGCTAATTACATCTTTTGTCTATCCAAAACCAAGTAAGATATTGCCAATAAACAACGTTTATAATTTTTGGTATGTCTATATGTTACCAATATTTAACCCTTACACCTATTAAACCTATTATCAAGTCTTACATTTTTATAAGCATGACTTAAAGTTATAACATAAAACTAAACAATTAAACTGAACAATTAAATATTGCACAATATTACACAATATAATTAGTTCAAACATTTGTATTTCATTTTTAAACACTTTTCTTTCGATACTAAAAAACTGTATTTCAATAAATATATCAGTACAAATATATTAGTCAGCATTTACGTATACGCAACATTTCTAGTTATATTATATTAAAGAACAAAAATATCAATAAGAATGAAGTCGACTTTGTAACGAAAACATTTTCAACAATATATTCTTGTATATATTTAGATACATCGTTCTACGTATCATATTGTGAGAACACGGTTTCATCATCTTCGACTTTAGATGGCGCATTTTGCATCTTTAATTTCAGTATTATACTTAAGTTTGTAGCAATCATATAAAGTTTTAACGAAAATAAAACATACAAATAAATGGAAAGATGATTTAACCTTTTTGGTGATTCGATTGGTTCGAGAGCATTTAAGAAATGAAAATCTGAAGGCCCATTTTTCGAACACTTCCATGATCAAATAAACCGTATCTCTCGAATAGTGTGATTTATTTAACTTCTTAGGCTGAAATCGATAGCTGACCACCATACATGAAAATTAAAAATTTCACGTATGCTTTCTAGTCCATCAGCGTCAAATCCTGTAAACCGGATGGCCAGACTACGCTTCCGTTTCTAAAAATGTGTTGTCATTCATTAGGTAACTGACTTAAAAACTTGGGACTTTCCGTGCATCAAAATGAAAAATTATGCTTATTAACCACACACTTTAGAATTTAAAATTAACTTTCTAATTTTATAAAGTAAAGCTCGCATCATTACTTTTAGGGTTACAGTGTATTCAAGTTCAAATGGTAAAACGCAGTAAATATAAATCAGTAATTGTCAAGCAAAAAGAAAATCACGCTAAGGTTTGCGTAAACCATTTTCTTTTTTACAGTTAATCCTATATATAGTTATGTATATATGTAGTTATTAACATATACAGTTATGTAGCCAGAGATGGACTTTCAGCATAAGTCGTATGAATTCATGAATTAATTGTTGCATTTATAAAAATAATTTTTTACTTTTTTTTTTCTTAGATTATATCAGAATATACATATATTTAATTATATAATTTTATTGAAGGATATAAAACATAATTTGGACTCTTTGGTAAGCCAATTATGCCATTTGCGATTGGGTACGAATCAACACCAGCGTTTGCTTCTCTTACGTCAACGACAATTAATTGAAGAAGATGAACTGCGTCTAAAACATTACGTTGAATATGAGAAGTTTCAAAAAGCTTTACGACAAAGTAAGATAAATGTATTTTTATAAAGTATTGTCTATAAGTATTTATATAACTAACTTTTCACTTTGTCTTATTTAAACAAAGGTAGTGACGTGTCATTAGCTTCGCAACAATCAGTGGTGTTTATTCAACCAACAGGTTCGCAATACAGTATATTAGAATATTTTGCAACAGAATATTTACATTCTTATTTTAACCAATATAGGAAGTACTCAACAAATTTTTACTCAAAATTTGGACAAGCAAAGTGCACCTATTGGATCACTGCAACCGTCTTTTGTAAATTGTTTCAATCAAGCACATCAACCCACTCACACGCAATTACAAGGCTTCCAATTGCCAACTAATATTGCACTTGTAAACAACAGAATTTTACTGGAACAATTAACTCAGCAGCAGCTACAAAATTGTAGTCAACCAGTTATACTTACCTCCAATACTAATAAAATTGAAGGTATGGACAATATGTTAGTTTTATAAACACATTTTTAATATATTTATAATATAGATTTGCAGCAGTTGTCAACCGTTCCTCTTAACCAAATTTCAACATCAAATTTAGTGAACTTAAACCAACAAAATTCCTCTGATATACAAATTGAAAGCACGAAAAGTCAAACAGATTCCTTACTTTCCGCTGACGTAGAGAATGCTACAACAGGGCAAAAAGATTAATAAATAATAAAATGGCTGTTATCAAACATAAATTAAAAATATAATATTAATATATTTCAGATATTGATGCTTGAACTACTCCTTTCAGTACAAAAGTTTCAAGAAATACATATGTAGCTTTGCATCCTTTATGGTTTCTATTTATTTATTTGTTTTATAGAAAATGGTTATAAAAAGTTAAATAATGGTAATATAAAAAACAACTAATTGAATTATTATAGCAATAAAGTTAATAACGAATTCACAACCAATTCATTATTTCTTTTTACGTGTTTTTTATTATTACCATTGACAAACTAAATATAGAAGTAGTATGTAGAACAAAAATTTAATGGAAACTTTGCAATTCTTAACTAAAGTCTCGCGCGCCTCTCTTGTTAATATATAAATCATTAATTAAATTAACGTTTTAATGTTAACGTTTTAACGCAAATGAATTTAGTGTCTTAAGTGTAAATGATAGGAATATACAACCTATATTTTGCAAGAGCAACACATAGTTAAAACTGGTATTTGTAAAATGCTTTGTTTACATTGTTTTCTGTAAATTTTCTGATGAATGCGAATGCTGTTCCAATTTATAAATTTTCAATATTTTCATGTCATGTCATAACTACTTATTCTTAACAATATTTCAATAAGATAAGGAAATTCAAAAAAAATTTATTTAGCATGTATTCTAATAACTTTACTATAATATTATGAGAAAATACTTCTATACCTGGAAGCAAGCCGACAGGTAACAAAACAAAAATAATGACGTGCATGCATCTTAAACATTCTTACTTAAATAATTAAATTTTGTGGAAACTAAACTAAACTGAACTATAGTTTATATGATAATAGCCTTAGAAAGAAATGTGATCAAGACTTTTTTATAACAATATCAGTTTTAAGTACATGTGCTGCGTTTACCATATTAGGTTGCAATACATATACTGTATTCTGCAGATGAGTCTTTGGTTGGAAAAAAATGAAGAAATTGCATAACAACCAGGGATTATGTTCGTTATTAACCGATAATTATACATTTAAAAAAAGTTAAATCGTTTATTAAGAAAATTTTAGTCAAAAAACCCCAACATGGTCAAAACAGATATATCCATTATTTTAGTTTCGATGTATAGATAATGAAAATAATTAAATTTATTATTCCATATATATATTATTAATTGTTATTTATTTTTATAAATTTCCTGTAAATTTTAATGATTTTTTATAATAAAACATATACTTCAAAACTTTTTCTAAATTTTTTTATTTTTTTCTTTGTACATATTTCAGTGATACATTGGTTATCTATATATATTTTTTGTCGTGAAGACATTTTTATCTGTTATACACCAATTTCCTTAATAAAACAAAGTTCACGACTAATTAAGGTTTTTAATATTAATTTTTTATATATTTTTGTTAAGGCGTCTGTGCTTTATATCATAGAATTGTTGAATAGAACATTATTATGCAACATTTCTTAAACTTTCAAAATTTGGATATAAAGTTTTATATACAATTTTTAACATAGTATTGAAACTAATGCAATTATTCATGTTTCAAACGAAAATATATCCAATTATCTATAAATCAAAGCTAAAAATTTTGGATATAACAATTTAATTTAGAATATAATGGGTTAACGCTATTCCAGAAATATGGTTTAATTAACACAAAGTATCTCGGTTAATATTAAAAATTGAATTAATAAATAGGTACTTGAAATATACTAAATCCATGCATTAAATTATCCACTTATATGTGCATACAACGAATGTCAACATAAACATATTTTCTCAAACTACTTTATGTATATATTGTAACAGTTCGTTCACTCTATCGCAATTACGGCATAAATGTAAAGCAATTAAAAACTATTTCACATAAAAAGTCCTCAAAAAATGTTCAGTTGCATGCGTGCAGCTATCAATAATAACTACTAAAAGATATGACAGCAAATCATATTAAAATTCGAATTTCGATATATTCATAATATTTAAACAATTAATCGAAATATGAACAATATTTAAAGAAATTAAAAAATAATAAATAATTATATGCTGTAAAAAAATGTCATGTACAAAAACTGACATTTAATTTGAAGACATTCAAATTAAATTGTCGCGGTGTAACGACTGACAGCTGTTTTTGATTTCCCCACGAAAACAGTAGGTTGGAGTGGCACCTTGTGCATCAAGAAAGCTTGTTTTGATACCACAAGAATAGCGTTGGTTCATACATAGACTAGATCAGTATACAACCAACCCCAAAAAAACCTTCAACGCCCCCATTAGATCATGGTAAACTAACCTGACAATTTTATGAATTTGACTTAGTCCACAATATTGCATAGTCAGATCGGTAAAAGGGTCCCCAAGATTTTTGATTTTTTCCAAGCTAAAGATGGACATTGCCACATAGGGTAGATCCATTCTCATAATATGCCTTTATATTATGCAGTGACCCGTCAGCACTGATACTGTAGTGCTAAGCAGGTTCCGCCTGAGTTTAAGTAGCTGGCTAGTGCGTTTTTTGTCCAAATCACACCAAGTCAACTTAGAAATCTGACATCAGGATTCATCAGCTATTTTCTTTAAATGCCAGTTTAGCTATTGCAAGTGGAACGCCAATATCTGAGAAGCATTTGTCGGAGATGTTTCTGTATCCAGAAACCCAAATGAGTTGAACCGTAACGAGCGTAGCTAGGTCATTGAGGGAAGCACCGCAGCTATAATTGATGAGTTGAGTTATAATTGATGTAACTGTAGTGAATACTAGTGATTTGTAGGCAAAGAGAGGCTGTCTAAGGAGATTAAAATATTTTCATTGGGGATCTGATTGCCAAGGACGCATTAAACGTCTTCTTTGCTTTCGTCATCGTACGTCTACTTTTCCAACTATCATCTTAAACTGATTCTCATTTAAACAAACAATTTTATATGTTTATGGGGGCCAACCATTCAAAATCTAATAGAACATCCCCGTTATGATGTACTATTAGTGGAAAGAGATATATCTTAGAAAGACTAGTGTGACCTCGCAGTCGTATTTTGATATTTGTTGATTAAATAGTTTTTTTTAAAACTGTATTTTTTGTTCAATATAAATGTCCTCTAAACTTTAACAAAATACTACTGTCGACATTAGGCAATTAATAATTAAATTGAATTTTGAAGGTAAAACCGTTAGAGAAAAAAATTGCCAATTTAGTTGGAATAAGTAAATCTACTGTACAAGACATTAACAAGAAGTTTCGTGATGAATTTGGGTTAGCCAATAAGAGCAGAGCAGTTCAAAATGATCGGCAAAATATTAAATGATCGAGAAGAGCGTTCGATATTGAAAGAAATAAAGAAAAATCCTTTCAAAACCGCTAAAGATCTTAAATTTTCATTAAAAACCCGCTCTCGGAAAGATGTATGATTAAATACTTTTCGCAATACTTTACATAAATTCGATTATCACGAAGGAAACAACCGTTTATAAGTATTAAAAATAAAAGAATAAACGTCAAGGAGTATTTACTAAAAACAGAAAGCTTTTGGAATCATCGATAATTTTCATTTTTTTTAAGGTTTTGTTCACTGACGAAAGTAAATTTAATTTGCAAGGATCCGATAGTAAGATGATAGTAAGATGTATGACGTAAATCAAATGCAGAATTTAATCATCACAATACAAAGGCCACTATAGAACATGGAGGACGCTCTGTTATGGTTCGGGGTTGTGATCAAGTGCAGGAATAGGCAATTTGCATTTTATAGGTAGTCAAATGGATAAATTTGGCTACCTTCACATTCTGAAACAGAATATAAAGCAAAGTGCAAAGAAATTGGGTGTCACGGAAAATCTTGCTTTTTATAAGCACAACGATTCTAAGCATATGTCAGGCAAAGCGTTGGTTGATCTATAACTGCCACAACACCTGCAAAGAGCCAAGACCTTAATACAATTAAGCATCTTTGGGAGGAATTAGCTAAGAGTGTTGCAAAAAAATTTAAGGCAAATGTACTGCTAAAGGAAACTATACACGAAGCATGGTATTCAATAGACCCAGAAGTGTGCCAAAATCTAGTAAAATCAGTTCCAAATCGTCTGCAGACCGTTCTAAATAACAAACGTTAATCAAAAAAATATTGATTGCCACATTTCTGTATTTTTAGGATTCCTGCTTTGTCCGATTATGCATTGAGCGCAAAAAATTTATTGGTTGTTTTTTGTTTAAATTTACAGGTATAAAAAATACATTTTTTAATATTTATATAGATAAGTATGAATGAAAAAAAAATTTTATTTTTAACATATTTTTTTAAAGTTTGGAGCACATTTAAATTAAATAAATTTTTGTCCGATTATTCGATGGAGCCACTGTATATATTGAATTTTTATAAGCAAATTTCGTTTAGATTACATGTTGACGCATAAACGTGCAAATCTGATTAAATAAATTATCCCATAATAGAGATAATAATTTTTAGCTCCTAATACATCAAAAATGTTACTGCTTGTCTGCATGCACTGCAGGGCCTTTTCCTCATTTTATTGCCGGTCTTGATGCATGAACATTAAATTAAAATAAAAACAAGTGTTTTATTTGTATAGTTGCATACGAAACAGAAATTCACACATTCGTTATGCTATTATTAAAATAAAAAATTCTTAATTTCTATTGCCTTACTCTCATTTCAAAAATATATCATCATATAAAAAGTTATAGACAAAATTCCATCAAACATAAAAAGTATTTACCTCTTTAAAAAATCGTCAACTAAAACATAACTCGACATATCAATAACGTGTTTAACAAACTTTTTTAATATTTAAAAGTTTCCTTAAATTTATTAGTTCTAAATTTATGTACTACATTTTGTTTTGTTCACGCTGTAATCGAGTTCCATAAGCACGTGAAACTAAGTTCCAGGAGTCCATAAACCGATCCATGCACATCGAGATACATTTCTATTAAAATGATATATGAAAAAACGAATAATAAAAATGTAATAGGTAAGGTACCTGTTCTGACGAATCAAGTGTTACACCCGGTTTCCCTACACACTTTTTGAAACATTTTTCAGTCATTTTCTAAAGGAAACAAATATGTAATGTGATGTTTAGTCAGTTTTCTTATGTCATCATA